AAATTATTTGAAATTGTTGGAACTAGCCAATCAAAAGGCGTCGCCGTGCTCTTGAAAGTCGCTCAACTTGACAACCTGCAGCTCTGCAGCCCAGGCGGTTAACCTTTGACCGAATCGTCTACATCATTCCTGCCTGGGAGAGAGAGAACTAAACTCATAACTGCAAACCGTCTTTCCAAGCGGGGGCCCACAGGGGAAGCAAGAACAAAATGTAAATTTGGTGTCAGCGAGACCTGGGAGCTCGGCGGAGTGCTGACTCAGAGCCGGGACGAACTCCGAGTGCTGCAGATAAGCTGCTGCAGCAGCAGCTCACCCTGCTGCCAGCCCTCTTGTGATCCTGCGCCGCTTCCAACAGGCTGTGACTCACGGAAACACACTGAAACCTCTGGGCCGCCATACCTCCTCTGGCGCCGTGAGTCACAGAGCCGGACCGTGTTTAGCTGAGAGACAGAGAGAGAGAGATGGAACTGAGGTATAAATGAACAAATCAAAGCAGAAAGACTTGATAGAGAGAGAGAGAAAAAAAGTATTTTCCAATAAAGTATCAGTTCTAGACTCGCTCTGTGCATTAGAGAAAGGATCTCCAGATTTTAGTGATGATTCAATTTGCTTCATGTTTAGGATTTTAATTGGCCATGACATCAAGACCTTCAGGATGCTCTCCCCCCACAGACAATCTCACTGAAAATCTGACTCCCTTTGACTTTTCGTCTTTATTAATCCACCAAAAAGCGGCAGCAGGATTTGTGGCAGACTCTTTCCAAACCCTCATAAAAAGCCTCAAGTAAGTTTCACGCATTGCTGCTGTCAAAAGGACACGATTCGAACCATATTCGAAGATAATAATCGACGAAGTGCGAAGCGTTTTCTGAACTGAAACTGAAATCATCCAACCTTTTTGTCATCCCATTAATTCATTTAAACCCTTTTCTGTCAATCGGTGAGTTAAACACCAACTCTTATATTGTAATAAGAAAAGAAAATCTATATATAATTTAATATATAAAGATTAAAGTAATACTAAAATAATATTTTCTCACTAACTTTGAGCAGACGGTTTGAATATGCAAAAGCTTTAACTGTCATAGAAGAGAGGCCTCTCCAGACATGAAGCAACGCTTTGCTGAACCCTCAGTCCTTCTCCACCCACACAAGTCCCTCTTACACTGAAAACACCACTTGTCTTTATTTATTTATTTTTTTATGAAATCTATGAAAAAATAGCCAAGACATTAAAAACAGGCACATTCTTCATTTAAATCAGACACCAAAATATATTTGCCAATTCACGGTTTGCTTGTTTTCACTTTATTCACATTGATTTGTGCACATTCATTTATTGATCTGATTAATTCACATGTTACATTTTGATGTAAAGAAGAGTTTTGAATGGAAAGGAGAGCGAAGGGAAAAAAAAATCCCATGTCATTTAGCCGAAACCAAAATTCATAGAGAACAAAAGACAATAAATAAATAAGAAAACAAACACAAAGGAATGAGTTTATATGAAAAGACCTTCTTAAAAATGATAAACAACACAAAGATCCAATATTAATATTGGTGTTATGGTCGATAATTGATATTTACCGATAATATAAATATAAATATGGCCGATAATATAAATTTTCACTACTGTTTTAAAACCTTGGTGGCAACAATATAAAAGTAAATATCGGTGGTTCACATCACTCCAAATAAATTCAGTCAGGTATTGATGTTGATGGCCAGAATAACAATGATTTTTATTTTAATTTCCTTGAAATTCCTTTTTGCACAGAAGAAGGCGACTGGGAGTTGTTTTCTGCTTTATTCTGGTTTACAAATCACTGAATCGCCTGGCACCAAATGACATTAAAGACCTGTTGCTGTTGCATGAACCTTCCAGACCAGTCAAGTCTTCTGGTTCTGCTCTGCATCCCCAAAACCAGAACCAAGCATTCAGCTTCTATGCACCACAAATCTGGAGCAAACTTACAGAAAACTGCAAAACTGCCGAAACAGTGACTTCCTTTTAAATCAACCCACCTGAGTTGCCTTTGATTGATGACAACTGGAACTTTTATCAATACATTTGATACGAATTTGCTTCATAATTATGAAAAATATGTTTGTTGTTTGTTTCACACTGTAAGACTTTAAGGTGTAAAGCACTTTGAGCCGCCTCAGTGTTGAAACAGGCTAAATGAACTGGACAAATAATGATGGCAATATTCACAGCACTATTGATCAGTTGTGTGTTACAATTTCACTACTAAAATCATAATTGGAGTTTGGACCGTCTGCTCGGAAGAGTGGAAGAAAAGAACTGAAAAGTTTAATGATGTAACTTTTCGTCTGTCCAGGATAAAAGTTATCCAAGATAGGGGCAAAAAAAAAAAAACATAACAAAACCAGCAGATCTTAGAAGAGCGTATCTTTGGAAAACGAAGCATAGTTTCTGTTTTTCTCTTGATCTGCCTGTGTTTACTGCCTCCAGACGTTTGCCATTTTCATGGCAAACGTCTGGAATGTGTCCAAATTGATGTGATTCCAGAAAGAGAAGGAAAAACTTGATAAGGAAACTTCCTCGTCTACTTTTCTACAGCACGGCTTGTGATTCCTCCCCTTTTGTCTGTTTCCACACTCTGATTAAGCCACTAATAACTGCAATTTCTCTTAAAATGCCATGGCAGCAGTGAGGGGAGAGTGATGAAGTGCAGAGTCTGAAGGACCTCCTAAGTGCAGGCACAGCCATGGCAACAAGTGACCTGCAGCATGCTGTTAAATGGCAACGCGGCGCCATGACCGCCTCAGTCACATCAAACACACCGCTGCGTTTCTGTTGTTTTTCCCTTCTGCTTTTTACGTTCCCAGAAGCAATTTGTTCCAGGATTTTTAGCCGTGCATGCAGAATGGAGGTAATTTCAAAGAGAGCAATTACGAGCTGAATTGCTCTGATCCCTCAGGGAAAGAGAAAACGCTCAGAACCCGTCTGGTAAGGTGAGCGACTCTTATTGTGCAGTACGGACCGCCGCCGCCTGTGCTGAATGATTCAAGTCGGTGCGCTTCTGGATACATCTGCAAAGTAGAGGGCAATTTTTTCAGACTCAAAAACAGGCTCTCAAACGGGGTGAAATCGCTCTCGCTTTATTCGTTACATTCACAATCCATCACCACAAAGCTTTGGAGCTCTGATTGTCTCCTGCTTCTTTTTGTTTTGTTTTGTTTTTTCTTCCAAGCCTCGTCATTCATTCACACTTTTTCACCAAATCAGAAAAAAAAAAAATATATATATATATATCTTAATTCACAGATAAATCTTTTAAAAAAAAAAATATCAGGAAATAGGGAGAAAGGAAAAAAACAGTGTTCAGATCAAAGCTAAAATGGACGACAAAATAACATGTTCTACAAAAACCTTCACTTTCAGTCTGATTCCTTGTTCTACTAAACACAAACATGTTCTGTTGCAGAAGGTTCGTATTCATAAAAATAAGAGTTGCTGATGTGAATGTGAGATTTTACTGTAGATATTTTTATAGTGCCTTTCACTTTTTTTAACAAACAGAGGAACACAACATCATGTGCATTACATGTTTTCACTAAAAGAAGAAAAAAAGGGCTGCAAATGCCTCTTTCAGACAATAGAGCACTTACAGAAAATCAGTACCAGGAAGAAATATTTTATAAAAGAATAACTAATACAGAAAATAAAAAAATAAAAAAAACCTGACACATTTTTAATCTGAATCCTAGTTAGACGAGAAATATTTTCCACATGTCGGTTTTGATCCGATTCATTTACCTTCATCTCTATATAAACTACGCTGGACAGATGGCAGAAAATCTGATTCAATAGTTCAGCTTAAAACCTTTTACACAAATGATGCGATTACCCAAACGTCACTGTTTTGTACAAAACCCGCAGGACCCAAGATGTTCAAAATTACTTCAGTTTCACATTATGGAATGAAAATCTACAAAAAAAAAACAACAACATAAAATCGTCTCCTAATTGTAAATTGTACCTTTCCCTCAAGGCCAGTACACAACAAGTTAAGCTACCTACTTTATGGTTCACTTTAAAAAGCTTATATCGTAACAACAGGAAAGTAGTGATGATAAAGTTTCTAGATCAAATTGCAGCTCAGAACATATTTATGCCATAATTTATCCACTTAGGATGACAAAGTCACAGATTGGAGACCTAACAAACCAGCAACCCTGCCAGGGTTTAAAAACAAATCCTGATTAGCCCAATCAGCTTGTAATTTGCCGCAGTACCAAATCAACTTGTGTGATTCTATAGAATAAAATTCTGGCAGTATTCAGACCCGCTCCAGCTCTGAACCACATTAGTTTGACGCACAAACGCATGCATCAACTCTCACTTTTTGCTGACTAGATTAGTCTGCTTTTTACTTGTGAGCTGGGCAGTGGCTGTTGAAAACATGACTCTTGTGAAAGGAAGCAGCTAAAAGTCTCTGTTGTCTACACATAATTACTTAGTGTGCTTATTTTTAAGGGTTTGACGTCACGAAGCCGAGTTCTGAATAAACTGACTGTTGCACCACTCACAACGTGCAGGTCCTTCTACGATGAGTGTTCACACAAACCATAGCTTGGCCCTAAAAATTCATTTCAAGTTTACATCAACCACACCGGAATTTGGAAGGAAAGTCAGAAAACTGACTATCATTCATTTGGCTCAAACACTGAAAAAAACTGTCACTGCAAATTTTCTTGTGTGAAAATACAAAGAAAACTTTGTTAAATCTATACATAGTTTTATATTTATGTTATTTGAGAAACTTTATACAAATAACACCCAATTGTATGTAATGACCTTTGCCCCTCAAAGTACAAAAAGGGCAAATGTTTAGTCCTGTTTTCAAATGTCTTCACAAGACTTCAGTGTTATGCAAACACAAACCTGTTGTGTTTTTGAGTACTTTCAAAGCATCTCAGGTTATTTCATCATCCCAAATGAATAGACGCAATTAGCACAACATGTTTTAACATAAAATGATTTAACATAAAATGATTCAAATGCAGCAGAAAGTCACGGTTAGCGGTCAGCTGTTTTAAAAGGTGAGTCCTTGTATGCATTTCCCACAAATATTTGAAAACATATGCAGAGATGAGATTATCCTTTCACGCATCTTTGGTGGGGTTTGCAAAATGAAACAGATCCATCGTCACTCGGCTATAACAGTGTTATGCACCTTCAAGAAATACATGTCTGTACAAATGTAAAATTACTTCAAATAAACAAACAAACAAAACAATATGCATTGCAAAGCTTTAAAAATGAGGTCATCTGGTATATTCAAGGTCTTTTATATGACTTCAATATTCATACCCTTCTGAAATCATAAATTATAATCCTTCATTTATTTTTGTGTAACTGCTTGTGTGCTTTTTTTGTTATACGCCATGGAATAGAGTAAAACAAAAATGAAATATCGGGTGATTGGGCTCGTTGGAGCTTCAGAAGTGATCAGTGCAGAATGAATATTTCATATTGCTGCCCTTTGTCTTATTCCGGCTGCGCTGCCTTTAGAGGTCTGCAGTAGACACAATGATAATGTGATGGAAATGCAACCTTTCCTCATTACAAACAAAAGGCGAAAATACAACACAGCACTGGGAATACTAGATCCCCGATAATAAATAAGAGATAGTGTAGATTTAATGAACTCACACAAAATATGTTTTTTGCCCTGTTTACTTAGGTTTAAAACCAGTGTGGTAATTTGCCCAAACACCTTTTGAGCGATTACTTTGTTCTGCAGCCGCATTGCGTTAAATGCAGTGTTAAAATGCCTGTCCGCTCCTTCATTTACAGAGAAGCCTAAAAACATGCCTACCAGCAAGTTTCTTTTGAAACTTCGGAGCAAGCCAGCCAGAGTCCCAACTTCAATCTGACGGAGAAACATTGGAGGAAGCTAAAAATTTGGGTGATGGAAAGGAGGACTTTCTGCCTGCAAGACTTGAAGATCATCTCTGAAAGGAAACGGCCAACATACCAGCGGCTGATCAACAACTTTAGGAAGGGTTTACTAACCGCCTTGTAAAAAAAAACAAACAAAAAACAGCGTCTATATTGTTTGATAACTTGTCATTGTGTAATTAATGTATTATTATTTTCTCAAGGTCAACACCTAATTGTTACCGTCAATCTTTCATTTTTTTCATCAGAAACAAACTGCCTGCTGTGGGAATGAATCGTTTTGGGCTTCATTGTTGTTCTCACTGTGTCCTCATAGCTTACAGTGTTTAAAAATAAACATCCACAGACACAAACCCAAATGGCTCAAAGCTGGTTTCGTGGTAATACACATTAATCCAATATTCCTTACAATCATCTTTGCCATAGTGGCACAAACTCACACACACACGCACACACATACACACACACACACACACCCACACACACACACACCCACACACACACACAAACTCAAAGTACCAGCCATGTTGCTGCTCTTTCAACATGAGGCAGAGTCATTTCCAGACTCACATGTGCACCTCCTATGTAATCTCTAAAACAAGCTCCTTATAACTTAGCATTCAAGATACATTAACGGCTCCTCTTGCCATGATGTAAATTAAATTACAGCTTACATATGAGCAGACAACAGTTCAAGTGGATAAGGTTTGACAGTTCAAGACCCCAACAGGTTCACCGATCAATCTGTCTTACTGGGCTTTAAGTCGACCTTCTCTCTTGATTTCCTCTCCTATATTTCAGATTCAGTTCAAAACGAGCCGCTTTTCATTATTCGAGCATGTCCCCAATGAAAATGTACAAGTGTGCAACCTTCGAGCTTTGCTGCCGTAGGCTGTGTCTTCACGTCTTCGCCCTACGTTGTTTGTATGTAGGCTTCAGTTGGGGTGAAGTTGTTCTGGCTTGATCCAAGAATCCGTGCCTGTAATATCAAAAGATTATGAATCTTATTGCAATAGCAGCCATGTTCCCGCGTCGGGTCTCCAATGCTGAAGCCTTCGCTTCCACAGGGCGTGTTCGAAAGACGAGACGGCCAGTGCCATTTTGGGGCAAAAGCAGATCTGGACGGCACTGAACCGAGACGTTGGTGCTTTCGTGCAGATGTAGGGTACAACAGCCAGGGCGCCTGGCTGAGAAATGGAGAAAAGTATTCCAGGGGGAAGCAAGAGAGGTCAAAGGTTAAGGAGGCACATATTTTACGCTGTATCTGGGCTCTGTCTCTGTGTGAGTCATAACAATAATGGGTGGCCAAAACTCAGCATCCAGACATCTATGTAATGTCTGAGTGATTCTGCCATTTCTCTGCTCTCTCTCTCTCTCTCTTTGCTGCTTTAGGTTCTGGACTTTATAAAGCAGAAAGGTTAAGAAGGTGAACTCAGTGTGGGTCTTCGAAAGCCTGACAGTTGATCCACAAGAGTCATTGTGTGTCCAAAGGACTTTAAGCAACATATATGCTAATTAGAAGGCAAGGAAACCAGAGCTGAAGAAAGGGAAAATAAAGAAAAGTAATCGGATACTGAACTAGTCTGGCACACACAAAGTACACTCTGTGCCTTACAATGGAGCAGATTATAAGTACCTTGTCATTGGTTCCAGGACTTACTTCAACTGGTTTAATTTAAACAACCACTTTCACCTGAAACCAGCTGCAATCAGTTGCTGTCACCATAGAGTCTAGCTCCAGTTTAGTCCTTGCTATTTGGTTTTCCATCACTTTTACATCAAAGGAGGAGAATGTGGTTGAAGTCCAGACATGATTAACCCTTTGTCTTTCCTCAGTTGTAATAAAAAGGGTTTTCAGAGAGAAAAAAATTCCCAATTTACTTTGATTTCCTAAATACAAATTTGACTCCCAAAGGATTTCATTAATTGAGCATCATAGTCTTTTTTGGATCAGGATGAGTCGAAGTGTGCAGTCTGCTGGGCTCTGATGAGGTTTTCACATTTTGTTTGAGAATTAAAGCCCTAGCTTCGTAGTTCCTTCACTTTGCTTCACGGTAGATTTGGACTCTGTTCCTGAGTCTGGGCTCTGAACAACAGAGGGCGCTGGTTGGCTGCGGTGGACCTGAGAATGCCGAGGCAGGGTTGTGCGCATGTGGTGCTGGAGGGTGTGCGACTTTTGTGGAGGCCGATTCTGATAACTTCGACGATGTCGCAAGGACTGGGAATGTAAAAGGATGCGTGTGTACGAGATCTCTGGCATGATGTACTTGAGGCAGTGCTCCTGTGCCTCATGGCTTATATTTACCGGGAGGTCATAGCCGACGATGTCGACTTTGTCGCTTGGCTGCCATGGACGGAGATCCTTGTTCTTGATCTCTGCAGCTGGGCGTGGAAGTGGCATTTTCCCACCGAAGCAACTTCTCATTAGCCTTTCTTGTGCCTGTCGTAGAAGTTGGACCTCCTTCGCCACACAGTCTAGACCCAAATCTGAGAGTTTGAGCCAGAATGAAGCATTAAAGTACTCATAAAGGTATGCGTCTATGGAATTCCAGGCACGGATCTTTTCAGGGAGACCTGGAGACAATTTCTTCTTGGAACTTTCCGTCCGCATGTTTAGCTTGACATACAGGATGTCCTCCAAATCCCAAGAGAGAAGATGGCGAAGAAGAATAAGTGATTCATCAAAGTATTCGGAAATCATCACTAGGGAGAACACTTTTTCCACCTCAGCAACAAAGTTATGTGCATAAGCCAAGTCTTTTGACGGACGATCTTTGTCTCCACCCAAGTCGAAGGTCAAGGTGTTGTGCGCATACATAGACTCTACCTCTTGTGACCTGTAGTAACGTGAGGGCTCTGCCAAGAACGCTTCCAAAGAGCCATTCGGGACCCTCCTGAAACTCATACAGTGTCGGCTGTAGTACGTAAACAAGGATTCAAACATGGAGGCTGGTTCTCTCAGGATTGTAATGTATATTGTATCATTTGGCATCAGGCGCTGCAACGCCGTCTTATTGAAGCGCATGTGGTTGGTGATCAAGTTTGGTCGCAGCGTGTGCAGATGGACGAAGTGAGAGGAGAAGGAGCGTGGGTAGCAGAACTGATGGCCACATGCTTGCACTGGCAACGCCACCATCAGGTTGTTGCGCTCTGCAAAACGAAACAGGATGTTTTGCATGGTGGTGCTGGCCGTTTTGTGGGTCTTCAGGAAGACAATGTTGGTGTGTTTCGGCTTTGTTCCTGGGGACTGGTGAGAGCAGCCAAAGCGGAAGGCCTCCATGTTCCTAAAGGAAAAGGAAATGCAAATAATTTCAAAACTAGCAATTCCAACCAAAAACAATTGACTGGAGATATAATTCCACAACAACTGGAGAGTATAAGAGACTAAAGCGACGGTGTGAAAGAGAAAAAGTGCAAAAATATGAAAATAAATTACCCTAAACAATATATTCAGAAATAAATCATTGTTGCTAGCTTTCTGCAATGCTGTTCAAAATTTTATGAAATCTTAAAATCTACAGTTCAGCATAAAAATTCACCTTTTCACCAAAAACACTTGCAGGACAATAATAAAAAAAAATCAGTACAGTTATACTCTGTAGTTTCTTTAAACCGTAAAAATATATGATAACAGATTTTTAGACGAAATATGTTCAAAGTCATCATTTGATGGTTGTTGAAGTAAAAACTTTACCTTACACTTCAGCGACTGGCATAGAAAATGTTTAACATACTCCTTTACATAAATAAAAAGATTTATTTTATTTTATTTTTTTTACATATTGTTGGTTTTTACTTCAGTCCTCACCAGGTGAAGTGGCCCCCATGGTGCAGCAGAAGACTGACAGTACAGATGACAATGAGGGCCAGAAATATCTTCTTCTGCCACTTCATTTGGCCTGTGGAAGAAAGGAAGTGCAGGAGAGAGGTGAAAATTAGAGCAAGTAGAGGTGATAACGAGGCAAACAGCATGCCAAGAATGAGCTTAAAAAGGTTGAGGCTAAGAATGGAAAGAGGACTGAGAAGAAAAGACAAATTTGGAAGAGAGAAACCAAATAGGAGGGAGAAGGAGTCATTAGCAAATAAGTAACATGCTGAATTGTACCATAATTACATCTAAAAGCAATAATTGTCACATTTACTGTTACAACCTCTTGCCTGTTCTCGGTCAGATCCATACACCAGGTCAGAAGTTAAAGACTCAAGAGAACATGGATGGAGAAACTTTATGCCACTTGATTTATGCAGCTGTAATGCTAAGACACCAATGGAACCTTGGAAGATCTCCAAACCTTTCCTTACAGCCTTTCACCTGCATAACAATGAGTAATGTTCTCTTCTTGATTACACTGTCCTGCCACCATCATCGTCAGCTGATAACAGTAGCTCACCTTACATCTTGTGTATGGCACTGCGGTTCACACACTGTAAAAAAACAACCCCTGAAAAAAACTCAGGTCAAAATTTACAAACAATCTGGTTGGAAAAATTTTATCAAATATTTTTCTCAACAGCTTTGAAAATGTACCTAAGTTTCCAGAGTACATTTTTATACTAATTACCTTTAAAATTTGTGTCATGATAATGCTCATTTGGTTTCATTGTTGATATACCTAATAAGTATACATAACAATCAATAAAGTTAACCTCAGAAAAGGATTTTCAGACAATAAAAACCAGACCAACCTTCATTTAATGAACCACATGCTCAACAAATAAAGTACAGAATACGTGCTCAATTTCAAGCAACTTGAAGTACGCCACATGTTAATAAACAAGATAATTGTACAATAAATATCTTTTCAACAGTTTTTTTCCCCCACACTGCTACCCAACAGGGCTGCACAGTCATTAGCAATCAAAAATCTAATTACACACTTTGGTTTGGCTTCCACACAGGATCACAATCCAGTTCAAGGGAAATGTAAATTTTGTTGAAACTCATTCAATGAAATCATTATTGTAGATGGTCATGGCTGTTGCCAGGACAGATCTCTTGCAGCGGACTGTATTACAGTTAATTTCAGGATGTTCAGGGTTGCTCATAATATACTTGAGATTTTGTAAACTTCTTCTTTGCATCATCATCTCCAGTGGCTCTACAGTGGTCCAAAGAACAGAGCCAGCCAGCCTTCTTTAGCAGGTTGTTGCAAGTAATTCTTAGTAATTCTAATTCTTCGTAATTCTAATTCTTCGTTTTTCGTTTTAGGATTTTGTTAGGGATGTAAACGTATGTACTATACTGACACTAACAATTTAAAGGCCTGATAGAGGGGAAAAAAACAAACAAGTTAGTTCGTTCTTAGGAGCTTTCAAACCAACTAAAGCTGAGACTCAATGGTAAATGAAACTTTATCTTCCTGCTATTTAAAATTGACTATCAAAGATCAAATTTTTGAGTGCTTGCCAAAGCGCTGCACAAAGTACCATTGAAAACTGGAGTTTTCAGTTAAATTTATAAGCAGCATCTGCACATTGATCCTGCTTTCACTGCCCATGCTTGTACAAAGTATGTCCCAAAATGTAGAACTTGCAATGAGTTACCATCTGAAGCACAAATGCCCAAACATCTTAAAAACGTATTTATGCCTCTGGTGGGAAATTAGAATATTTTTTTTAAATAGAAGATTGCATATATACAGCACCATTACAAAAGAAAAAGGCAAGGCTGAATTGTGCAAATGACAGTTTTGATTCCCAGCAGGATAGCTGGCCGCTCTGACTGTGAAGTTTTTTACAGAGAAAGCCTGGGAGCAGAAATTGCGTCTCCTCAATAGAGATAGAAACGTTAGTTTTGTTTCACTTCGATTTAATGGGCAGCAGTAGAAATGGTTCAAAACTGACATCAATGTGGAACTTCTGCTTTATAGGCGATAAAATAGAAGAAGATGCATTTTATATTGCAATAATTGATGACATTGTTGTTTTGAGACCATCTGCATAATGCAAGAACACATTCTCACAGATCACTGAACTTTAAATGCCTATGAACATTTAACACTGGAATCAGAAAACATTTTAAATATCCAAAATAAACAACAGAAACAACAAATATAAACAAAATGAGTTATGAAATCCCTGTCAACAAAACTGTCCGTCAAAAAAAGGGTTAAAAAACAACCAGACTGAAGACTTCTTGCTATGCAGTTTTTGGTAGAAAGAGAAAAATGATAAATCAAGCAGATGGAAATTATTGAACCTGTTTTAATTTATGATGCTATTAATTGATTAATTACTTATTGTGACAGGCCTATTTATTTGAAAGAGTCAAAACTGTCTTTGAATTGAGTGTGTGTCACTTATTCTCGGCGTTAAGTTTATCCACTCCTTTAAAATACGGTGCTTTATGTGGCATTTAGAGGCTTTTCTTCCAGCTAATATAAGGGATTAAGAGAAAACAATGGGCTAAATCTACACAAGAACCCTTGTTGTTGAGTTTTAACTCCAAATGTGGCTCAAATAAGCCATTAATTATAAAATAATGAGAAAACCGTAATCTAAATAGTGAATGACCAAGAAGATGGCATTTCTTATTGAATGTGACAGGAAATGTTTCTTTTTGAAGAACCTGCGGTGGGACGACTCTACGAAAACCCAAAATGTTTCTCCAATTAGTAAATATAAATAATTTTAGTAATCAATTATGAAAGGAAGGTTTTGGGGGAAAACGATTATTTTACACTGATTCTACTCCACTTGCAAGCCAGAAACAGAAGATGTGGCTTTCAAGACGAATGGACTTGATAGCCACTTCTCCGTCGTCACTTAACTTAGGAGAAAATAAAATCGCAAAGCCTCTTTCGGACAACTTACAGATGAAATTAATTGCGACCCACTGGGTGGCGACTGCTGAACAGTCGATCGTGTTTGGCAGTAGCATTACGCCGGGTGGAAAAGAGGCAGTGGCCGTTTCTTGTCCTGAGAGGAACTGGTTCATAACCCGGTGTGTACGTGCGTGAACGGTGGTAGATTGTCTGTCGGAGAGTTAATAAGAAAAGGGATTCGAGGGGCTTTCGGCAGGCAGACCTTTCCCTCTGCGTCAACCTCATCTTCTCCTCCCTTCACCTCACCACTGTCCTCTTCCTGCTGCAGCACTCAGGGCCCTCTAATTAAAAACGGCCTGACGAGGTAGCACTGGTAGAGGACGCCTGATCCCTTTGCTGGCAGGCCATTGATTTAAAGGATATAAACAAATAGAATGGTGTTGTTTCTTCATTGATCTGGTGATTAATCGAGGGATTTTCTAAAACCGATTAGAGTGGACTTTTTAAAGGATGGAGCTGATGCCTCATGAAAGGCAAAACCGTCCTCTTGTTTATTGGGTTTTGCTAAGTAAGAGTAGCAACAAGGGGGAGAAAATAATTTTACCAAAGCAATATAACGACATTCATGACCACTTCTGTCAAAACAGAAATATGAATATAAAATGATCAGAACTATAAACTATGGCTGCATAATAAAGTGAATTAAAAAAATGTTCACTTGATTCCAGAGGGAAAGAAAATACAATGCATATGAATAGAATAAATTTAATGGTAACTTCACTAAAGATAAATCCACATTTTTCTGTTTTCATCCATTTTTCCAACATTGCTGTGACCTTTAGCATTTTGCTCATGTAAACAAACGTGTTCTTTGCCTTCGTTCATTGCAGAGTTTAGAAAAACAATCTGACAAAGGTTGGGAACACATAATTAATGCGTTGACTAAAATAAATGAGAATTGAGGGGGTGTAACTAATCCCGCCATCGATTCTGTCACATTTTAACTGAACTGTATTGTCATTAAAATTTAAAACTTCAGCATTAGAAAGTCGCGTCTAATTTTAAGTTTGAAACCTCCCCTTGTCTCATTAATGAAGCTGTTTTAAATAACGTTCTGTGAGTTGCAGATTGGGAAGCAGCACTGGAAACAAAGGGAGTCTCCTCTGTGCCTCTTTGATTCAAATAAAGCCAAAACGGCTAAACGAATGTTACTAAGCCAGGAATCAATTACACTAATGTGTGTCATGTGAGATTTTGCTTTCAGCACTTCAGCAGCTTTGTTGCTACTTGCTGAAATGACATTATTGGATTGGAGTTAATGAGTGAACACATGTTTGTGGTAATTCAAGTAATTAAAACTTGAATTACTTGAGTTTTTGTTTTTGCTTTGCTTCTTCTTTTTCTTTACACCTATGACAACACGTCAGGATCTCATGCAACGTTGTACAAGAGTCTGAAATAGCTAGATCCATGCAGAATAGCACAACTCTGACCTCATATGTTCACAGGTTGTCAGAAAAATGTCTATGTAAAGAGAAACTAACAGAATCGTCATGGTGTAGCCTCGTCTTTCCTCTTGTCATGTGATGACCTCTGAGAGCTTTCATGGCAAAATCTTGTGTAGTTTCTGACAAATGAGCTACCGCAGCACATTTCATGCTCTTTTGCAGATTCACAGCAAACCTCAGATTGTCTCCCAACAGTACATATGCAATGATAAATCTCCCGTTTAAAATGTGCTCGTTCTCATACCGACTGAAATAAAAATAAGTAAAAATACAAAACACATATATATATATATATTCAACCAAGGTTTTGCACCTATTTTCCCCCATAATCCTTCTATCTGCTAAATGCGATAGCTACGAAAGTAGCAAAAACTAAAGAATACTTCCTGGCAGCAAACATAAACATGATGAAAAGGCACAGGTAAGAGTGCATTAGTCATTTTTGAACAGTTTTATTTCAATAATCTTAGAATTTTTTTTTATAGTATTGCCAAAAGCAGTATTTAGAGAAAAATCAAGGAGATTCCAAGTAATGGACATCCCAGGAACTCCTTAAAAAGTGAAATATGCAGATAAACTACTGTCACTGGTTTTCAGCCAGTGTCCTTCATATGTTAGGTGAGTCTC